TGATAGAACATTTCCTTTAAGGCCTACTACTTGTTCCAACCTTGCCAAAAGGATATCATGGTCAACCGTGTCAAAGGCTGAAGTCAAATCCAATAGAACTAAGACGGCAGAGCGCCCAGAGTCAGCGATTAGAAGAAGGTCATTGAAAACTCTTAGTGGGGCTTTTATGGTTGAATTACTGAGCGTAGGACTTCTGTTTTCTGACTCTTACAGGTCCTCTTTGCCTTCCAAATTACAAGTGACAGCAGTTGACCAATACATTCTCCTGATCTCTGTTGTCTCCAGTGGAGGGTGATGACTTTGGCAGGGAGCCTGTCGCTTCGTCTGCTTTTGGCCTTGACCACCATGGCCTCAGGCCTTAATATCCCTCTAGAAGGTATGAGTGTCATGACACAAGTGCTTGCTAGTTCTTGCTTGTGCTGTGCTGAAATATGAAGAGTCATTTAACACAGTTAAATTCACATGGAATGCCTGTGCTCTGCTTCATGTGAATACCGTAAGGTCCACAGAATCAACACTCATTTTTACGGCTTTTTAAAGCTAAATGACATAAACTGAGTAAGAGTAAGTTTGTGTTTATTAATTATTATTATTATCATTGTATCATTTGTGCAGTATGGCAGGCATACACTTGTGTGTATTATATCTTATTTACTTCAACAACTTTAGTGTTACCTGTCACAGTTCAGTAACGATTTTTGTGTGTGGCTTTATTTCATAGTGGAACAGCCTCCGACCATAATAACGTATACATCAGGTCCCATAATTGTACTTCATTTTGACACGACCATTAATGTCAAGTGTAAAGCCCGGGGCAATCCACCACCAGAGTAAGTGTTGTCAAGTGACACGAGTTGAAAAAAACAAACAAGCCAAACATTGAAGCCTTGATCAGTTGCATGGATGTGAATCGTATTTTGCTCTAACAGGTACAGATGGGAAAAGGATGGCCAAGCATTTGTCCCCCCAAACGTCCAAACAATCAGAGCAAACCAGAGAAAGGGCTCACTTGTGCTTCAGAGTGAGGACATGTCCGAGTTCGAGGGAAAATACAGATGCTACGCATCGAACAAGCTGGGAACTGCTATGACAAATGAGATCGAGATTAAAGCTTTCAGTAAGTAATCTTTAGATAAAAAAGATCAAAACCCAGAATTTTGCATTTCAATGTCCTCACTGTTTTGTTTTTCATGTTGTTGAACATTTGCTTTTCAACTAGGTATCCCTAAGTTTCCAAAGGAAACCCTCAGTCCCATTGTTGTTAGTGAGGGAGAACCAATCACCCTGAAATGCAACCCACCAGAAGGTGTGGCCCCACGTCTTATCTACTGGATGACTGTTGGTAAGCCATGAGGCGGTTTATCATTTTTGTGATTTATATATTGCATATTCCAGTTTATTAATTTGTTAAAAGGGAAAAACAACTCTTATTACTGCTTCAAAGCAGTTTTTCTAAAAGTGACTGGGGGACGGCTGAACAATTATTACCCTGCTCCAGGCTCGCACTTATGTTTGTGGCGAACCAGATGCTGTATTTAATGCAGTAATAAATACAGCCCCGGCTTCTCCACAGGAACTTGGAGCTGTATTGATCACCAGGGTCTCCACAAACAGGAGTGTAAGATTGGAGAGGGGTGACTGTTGTTCAGCTGTCCCTCAGTCCAGTCATAGCTCTCCTTCACCGGGTGGAGCTGGCTATGCAAGACCAACCACAGGTCCACAACACTACAGTATCACTGCGTCTAGGCAGGATTGTGATATTGAGGCATTCAGTCATAATGGTAGCTCCTCAACATTGGGGTGCCAGCTGAGTGCATAAACCAGATGTCTAAATCTACAATTTCTCTCATACTGAACTGGATTATTATTGCAGCAGTGCTTCATCAGTGGGCTGACCTGCCTAATGATGAACATTTTTCCAGGAAATGCTTTAAAAGCACTGCTTAAAAGATCACAGCAACACTCAAGCTAGTGTTTTAATTTTTCCTCAGTGGTTTGTAGATGAAAAAGGCAAAAGGCATGCTAACTAATGTATTTTTACATGATAAAGCCCCACTTTTTAGTAAAGTTGGTCATATGTTCTAATGAGTGCTATTGAAATTGTTCAAATAGGCACCCAGAAATTCAGGAAAAAGGAGTAGTGTCTCAGGAAGAGCTTAACCGCATGCTTTGATCTGCTTTGCACACTTGGGGGCATAAGTGTGCCAACCACATAATATAAAGATTCCTGGCTTCCTAATTTTCCACATATCCGGTCAATTACAGCATAATGGTCAGTGTGGTCACATGACTACTGCAGTCTATTAATGATTGACATGTTGCATCTAGTAGTTCAGAAGGTGTTTGACGTAACAAGAATGACTTAGTTTAAGCCATAACGGTGCCTTTGCTGTTCCTGAGTTTGTTATTGGACTTGCACTGTGGAGTGCTCAAAGCTGGGGTAGTTTTAGATAGTGTGAATCTCTGTCTGAATGCACCAGAAAATCCCCACAGATGAATGTGGCTGGTGACACATTGTATCCTCCAGCTATCAGTAAAGTTAGCAGTGACAATAAAGACAGTTCAGGTAAAGGTACACACTTGAGGTCCAAGTGTTTATTGCACATCGGGGTCCTTTTCTCTCCACCACCGCCAGAGAAAGTGATTCACTGTGTATAAGGTCACCTCAGTTGTGTCTGAAGTACTTCACTGAAGATCCTCAACCTCCTCCAACAAACCTGACTGATGTCAGGAAGAAAAAGTTAAGAGGCTTTCAGCTGCTCAGAAGGACAAATCCAAAGCCATGGGGCAGAATGAATGAAAACACTTGTGCAGAGCTGTTATTTTATATTATGTTTCAATCTGTTTTTTTATTAGATTCTTGATACAAGATGCAATGTGGAATCGAAAGGCTGCCTTTAAGCTTAAAAAACTAAACAGATGTCCATCTGTTGACATCTCTGTGTCTGCTTTGCGTGCACAGCTGTGCGTGTCACCGATCATTTATTGAAATACTGGCTATATATACCTTATATTCTGTTGCAGTGCACTTATGAGTTCACCAGGTCTTTGCAAGAACACTCCTTAGAGAATAACTTCCATATAAGATATTAGGCCACACAATTTTCAGGCATGGCTGATTTGACATGTTATCATCTAAAAAAAGTCCCTCTGACGCACCCTTTAAAAGTTTCTGTCCAATTGGCACCTTCTTATCAGCCAACATGAATTTCCTAGGCACATGCTATGAAGAGTTACAATTGTTGTAACAATGATTTCACATTATTTATACAACTATGTTGTTTTCCAGATCTCCAGCACATTGAGCAGAATGAGAGGGTTTCCATGGGAACTGATGGCAACCTGTACTTCTCTAATGCCTTAAAGAATGACAGTCGCCAGGATTACGGTTGCTTTGCTGCCTTCAACAGGATACGCACAATTGTCCAGAAAAACGCCATGGCTGTCGTGGTCAAACGCTGTAGGTTTATGACAAAGTCTCTCTGGCTTGGAAACTGCACTGTAGCTCACTTGTTTAGCATTTTGGCAAAAATGTTACGTGTGGTACATCTCACATTATCACACAATCAAAGATGACCAAACCACTACGACTTCTTCAAAGCAACTTTTGATCCTGTAATGAAGCAGGGCTTGCCTTGTCATGTTGATGCTGAAGGAAGTTTTTGTTATGACTCAGACTGATGACTGATATTGCTGATTGTGTAACTTTTGTTGGTGAAAACAAGCCAACACTCTTACGTCCGGTAAAATTGCTCCTTTATTTTATTATGTTTTTTTTATGTTCCAGTAAAACCTGCCAATGACTCTTCAGAGAGCAGCCACACTCGTGAGTGATAACCACACATCAAAGCTTTCTTTCATATTATCCGAACAGCCACTAGAAATTGACAATAAAGCGTGTGTGCAGTTTAGAAAATAAGTGGATAAAATTATACATCAGAGCAAGAAATGATATTGTCTGCTTTCGATGCAGCTGTGGCCCCCCCAGCGAGAATACCCAGCCTTTTGCTGCCCTCTGGTGTTCAGACTGAGAAGGTGTTGTTGAAGGGAGAGGATCTACAGCTCGAATGTATACCCGAGGGATTGTAAGTGCACATTATGTATCATCGCTTCTGCAGTCATGTTGTCACCATATATAAATAACCGTTTTGTTCATTACGGTGTTAACATACTATTGTCTCACATTGTAGCCCTACACCATCTGTGAAGTGGATAAAAATGGGAGAAGTCATGAGTCCTCGGGTGAAATTTAACAACTACAACAAGCTGTTGAGCTTATCAGCAGTGGAAGAGAGTGATGAGGGGAAGTACATGTGCACAGCTGAGAACTCTGCTGGAAAGGCTGTCCACTACTTTGATGTAATAGTGGAAGGTTAGTCAACATCGGGAGCTAATTACGCTTCTATTTGTGGGCACATTTGTTTATTTGCATCAAAGAGAAAGCTCTTGACACGTGGATGGCTGTTTGTTTTATCTGAGATCATCATGACTCCTCTTAACATCTCCCAGAGCCACCAAAGTGGCTGACAGAGCCTCCTCAGAGCCAGCTCACTGTGATTGGGTCTGATGTGCACATCAAGTGCTCCGTCAGTGGAAAACCACAACCAGCAATAACGTGGAGGAGGAATGGAGGAATGTTCAGAGGTGAGTGAGAATAATTGTTGATGTGGTTTAATTCATATTGCGCCTCCGGGCGGGAGGGCCGTGCACTGAGCAGCTATCCCTGACGTCAAGCTGGAGTGTTGTGACAGGCAACAGTCTGCTTAGTGTTTGAAATGATGAGATAACAGATTTAATTTTTCTCCTTCAGAAGTTGAAAGGCAAGGTATGCTGAACAGAAGCATGCGCTAATTAAAAGTAGTTGGTGCCTTCTCTTGTACAGTGTCTGAGTAGGAATCATTTGTTTTGAATATTATTAAATTTCTCAAAAGGAAATGTGTTGTGGCAATGTGGCAATATACACATAATTATATGGGTTTTTAAAAGGTTATATTAACTGTCAAGTCATCTGCCACTTGGTTAATTAAAGAGAAGCTGTTATCTGACTCTTATATATTTAAGTTGTATTCAAAACATCTAGATTTTTTACAGAATTATCCAACACTGATGCTGGTGCTATCCCGAAAAGAACATGTTGATATATTGAGTTGCTTTTATGATGATTTGGTAATTTATTTATGTCCATGTTGCTGTCAGGTGACCCAGATAAGAGGATGCAAGTGTTTGATGACACTGTGATACTTTTCAATGCCAAAGCGGAGGACAGTGGCGTCTACCAGTGTGAAGCCTCCAACAGACACGGAAATATTCTAGCCAACGTTAACATCATGATCATGAGTAAGTTCTGTGTTGTAGTGCTTTCCCTAAAAAGTAGCTCATAATATAACATCTTATAATAATATGCTATAAGGAACTGTAGTGGAAGCCAGTTTTCTTTAGCCAGTCTCATTATTTTTGCTGATAGAGATTGTTTCCCTGGTATGATTCATAAGAAGAAACACTTACACCCACTGAGATTTTCTCCAGTATCTTATCATTGTACATCTAAGATCCACATCTAATCATTATTTGCCTATTAGGGTGAATGTAGAGTTTTCTTTCAGCTGAAGTCTGAGTGGACTTCCATTTGCTGTAGTATTCTTTAGAAATGATAATGGAGCCTTTATCCAAAGCACCTCTTTTCTTTCTTTCCTCTCATTCACACAGTGGTGGCAAGGAGCTCTAATGCAAGCGTAGCCTGATCATCAGGAGCAATTTCAGGGTTCAGCGTATTGACTAACTGCAGTGTAACTGATTTCTTAGTTATTTGAGTATTTGTTATGCTTAAATGATTATATCAATAAGCACATTTTAATATTACACAAAGATAACCCCAGTAAATATAAATGTAGTTTTCAAATGATCATTTTAAAAAGTTGTTCAAAGATACCTGGAGGAGAAAGCAACTACTGGTCTGTGCCAGTCTTAGCAGCAAGAATTGCTTAGATTGGAACTATTCACCTTGTGATTGGTGGACAGCCTTGAATAAAAACTCCTTTCTTAGATTATCCAGTTTTTAAGGTTGAGTAAATAATTTACTACATTCTAACACTTGGTTAGAAAAGAAAGAAAGTGTACTTTATTGAACCCCGTGGGGAAATTCCTCTCTGCATTTAACCCATTCACTCGGTGAAGCAGTGGGCAGCCATTGGGCGCCCGGGGAGCAGTGTGTAGGTACGGTACCTCGCTCAGCCGTGCCTCAGGGTAGCTGTTCAGGGGTATCGAACCCCTGACCTTCCAATCATGGGGCCACCACACTACCTACTAAGCTATCCATACCCATGTAGTTGTTAGTTGTTAATATTACTTCTAAGGCATGAGTCACCAGGAGACATTAAAGGACCAGTGTGAAAAATTTAGCAACACTTTAGGAGGAATTTGTAGATTTCAGCCAAATAAATACATAAAATAAATTAAGATTATTCTAATACTTATTATACTTATTCAGTAAAAGGACTACATGTTAATGTCTGATAATGCTTTGCTTCAAATGGAGAAAGTCTTGAGGGATGGCTGTTATGAGGAAAGGCAGCCCAGAAACTTTACCAGCGAAACACATCGTTGTGTGCCTCAACTTCACACGTGTTTTGGTCTTTTACCCAAGCTAATCTGCCATTTTTTTTTTACCTTCCTTGGTTAGGGTTTAGGGATTAGAGATCTGATCTAGTTTTCTACAATTTTCAGTTGCTAGTTCCCGGACTCACTGAATGATCTTTGTAAGTTTTGGTCTGATCCAGCATCAAAAACAATGATAAAACAGCATATGCGTTAGGGTGGACCTGCCTTGTGTCTCTATCTTCACATCTGGTTTCAAGACTGCAGGACACCAACAGCATTTTGTTCCTTTTAGCTATTATCTTAGCTGCCTCAAATGACCAAAATGCGGTGATCTGATATGTGCAAATTACTTTCATGATCAATTATCAATCATGAATATGTGAGAATTAGAAAAGTCATTTGAAAGATGGAACTAAATTTACTGATGATGAAGATGACGTCCATTTAGTTCGTGTCCATTAAAGTATTGTTTAACAGGCAAATAGTTTTCTCTCTACAGCCGTGTTTGATCCAGCTGTGGGGACTTGACATAACTAACTGGTGTGTATCTATGGATTAGGGCACAGGACTGAGAAAGTTCATGTTCTAGGATCAGTAGAATTGTGCAGTGTTACCAGAGCCTGTGATTTATCTGTATTTTCTTTGGCATTTGAGTCAGCTCCTTCCTCTTGCTTTTAGATATGGCTCCGCTTATACTGACAGAGAACAACCAGGAGTATGCTGCAGTAGTAGGAAAGGAAATCACCATGAACTGCAGTGTTTTCAGCTCTCCACCATCCAGCATCTCTTGGTAAGTAGAGCTGGGTTTGTCTTAACAAGTAAGACAAGCAAGTTAAAAGCGTCATTAGTAATTTACACTTGCCTGCCTTTTAAAATATAAGAAATAGCCACTTTTACATATTAATGTGGAAGAGTGTAAAGAGAAGCAGTCTAAAGAATGAACCCGAGAGCACTATCACAGGAGTGAGTCATGCTATCACTCCCACACTGCTTCAGGTGTCTGTATGACACGCTGTGATGTTGACACTTATGTCTGGTTAATAAGATAATCATCTTCTGTTCCTTGAAATTGGGCAACATGAAACCCATTTACTATCACTGCTGCTCAAAAGAGAAACAGACAGTCCGTGGCAAGACACAGACGATGCCACAAATGCCAAATATTAAGATAAAAACCTGCGCTTCAATTCTAATCAGCAACCCTGTGTGTTGCTTTAATTAAGTAAACTGTGTAGCCCATCTATTAAAGTTTAGTGGTGGTCTTGGGAGCTTGAAAAACTTGAAAGGAGTGCTTGGAGCTCTACACTGGAGAAATCAAACAGCCACTCCATAAACAGCATAGAAGAGCCACCTCCACAGGATAAGACTCACCTGTACATTTACACCTAAAGGACAAAAAGTATTTTGAGGATGGCAAAGTTCTCATTTTTGCATCAAGATGGTTTGAAAAAGGAGTAAAGGAGGCCATCTTTGTCTGCTGTGAATGACCATCATTGACCTACATCAGCCACATACAATGCAGTCCTTTGAATACTTCAACCCCCACTCACACCTTGCCTAAGGTGACCTCAATAGGTCACATGATAGGATCTAGTTGCCTTTTATTTTTCAAGCCCTTAAAAATAAAACACGGAATAATATATGACATTCTTTAAAGTCGCAAAAGTGACACCAGACACTTTCAAACTCTGAACTTGCAGCAAATCGGCACCTTTTGATTTGCATTTGAGGTGTTGGATAAGTTGTGTGGAAGCGCCAAGTAAAGTTGAAAACTTTCTCTCCTAGGACCAAAGATGAAAAAGCCATCGAGGGGGAAGGTTTCCTTGCTCTTGAGAGCGGACAGTCATTGAAAATCATTAACGCAGAAAAAGGTGACAGTGGGAAATACATCTGCTTTGCGAGTAACGTGGAGGGCTCGTCGGCTGTCACTGCTGTGCTGGATGTGAAAGGTATCTCAGCAACATAATTACTGCTTTTTGTAGGCAGGGATATTCGTAGTCGCTGCGCACAAAGGTAAAAAGAAGAAAAGAAGGAATGTATTTCTTTTTAATATTCTGTGCTTTAAGTAGTTTAATAAGTAGTTAAAG